ATATCCTGGCTCTGCTTGAAACTGACCTCCAAGCTGGATTTCTAGAACAAAGCAGAAAAGCTTTCTGCTGCTTACTGTCCTCTGAAGTGCTACAAGACTGGTGGTGTGAGGATTGCTTTTTTTTACCTCACAGCCTGCTTTCTCGGATCCATTAATGTCAAATGGTTCCCCTATGCCCTACGGTCTAGAGATGTATTTCTTCTGCCTAGGTTCTCTCTGGACTGGGCAAACGTATTTCATGTCCTTTTGAAAGCCCTACTCAAGAGAGATGCTGAATGTGCTGGCTGTGTTTGCCCCTTTCCTTCCTTTTGTCACCCAATCCTGCTCGTTAGTCACTGTTGGCTGAAGCAGAAGTGTTGACCATGAAGGTGGGTTGAGAAAGCGGCTGTGCCAGTTCTCAGACGTGTCTTTTAAATTCCACAGACTGATTGCAAAGGTCCAAAGAAAGAGTCGGCCAATGTGACTCTTCCTGCTGCAGTCGACAAGAGTTTGAATGCTTGCTCTGTTTCAGCTGGAGCACAGCAAAGGTAATTCCAGAGGGACTAAATGGTTACCTGTGTGAACTGCTTTGGGGTGACATGGCTGGGGAGAAGCGGAGTGAAATAAGCACTCAGAGCAATGACACACCCGTTGTCTTTTGGTAGGGGCCTTGCCAGCAGCAGGAGAAGAGGACGAGGAAGACAATGACTCGCCCTGGGATTCTGAGGTACCTACTCTGGACGAGGCAGTGAGGTCCCTCTGGATCAGTGGCTTTGGGGCTCCCTTCAATGTGCTGTCGCTTTTGCCACATGCTTGTACCTTGGCCCTGGCCATGCCAGTGCTGCAGACAAACTGTTCAGAGAGCGTTGGGACAAAGTGAGGTCAAGCCGATATCCCGGCTCTCCTTTAAGCTGACCTCCAAGCTGGATTTCTTGAGCAAAGCAGTAAAGCTTTCTGCTGCTTTCTGTCCTCTGAAATGCTACAAGGCTGGAGTTGGGAGGATTGCTGTTTTCCACCTCACAGCCTGCTTTCCTGGGATCCAGAAATGTCAAATGGTTCCCTTCTCCCTACAGCCTAGAGATGTATTTCTCCTGCCTAGGTTCTCTCTGGATTGGGCTGGGGTGCTGCATCCCCTTTTGAAAGCCCTGCTCAAGAGAGATGCCAAATGTGCTGGCTGTGTTTGCCCGTTTCCATCCTTCCATCACCCAATCCTACTCGTTAGGCCTGTTGGCTGAAGCAGAAGTGTTGTGCATGGAAGTGTGTTGAGAAGCAGGCTGTGCCAGTTCTCAGATCTGTCTTTTAAATTATACAGAGCGATTCTGAAGGTGCACCAGAAAATGTGCTGCCTCCTGCTGCAATCGGCAAGAGTTTGGATGCACGCTCTGTTTCGGTGGAGCACAGCAAAGGTAATTTCAGAGGGACTAAATGGTTACCTTTGTAAAATGCTTTGGGGTGACACGGCTGAGGAGAAGTGGAGTGCAATAAGCGCTCAGAGCAATGACTCGCCTGTTGTCCTTTTTTAGGGATCTTACCAGCAGCAGGAAAAGACAAGAAGTTAGAGAATGACTTCTCCCTGAAAGATAATGACTTTTCCTGGCTTTTGGAGGTACCTAGTCTGGAGGGGGCAGTCAATTCCCTCTGGATCCACATCTTCTGAGTTCCTTTCCCTGTGCTGCTGCTGTTGCCACATGCTTGTACTTTGGCCCTGGACATGCCAGTGCTGCAGACAAACTGTTGCGTTAGTGCTGGGACAAAGTGAGGTCAAGGTGATATCCTGGCTCTCCTTGCAGCTGACCTCCAAGCTGGATTTCTGGAACAAAGCAGTAAAGCTTTCTGGTGCTTAAAATGCTCTGAAGTGCTACAAGAGTGGTGTTGTGAGGACTGCTGTTTTCCACCACGCAGGTTGCTTTCTTGGATCCATGAATGTCAAATGGTTCCCCTATGCCCTACAGTCTAGACATGTATTTCTCCTGCCTAGGTTCTCTCTGGAATGGGCCGGGGAACTGCATCCTCTTTCGAAAGCTCTGCTCCAGAGAGATGCCGAATGTGCTGGCTGTGTTTGCCCCTTTCCTTCCTTTTGTCACCCAATCCCGCTCATTAGTCCTGTTGGCTCAAGTAGAGGTGTGGTGCATGAAGTGTGTTGAGAAGGAGGCTGTGCCAGTTCTCAGATCTGTCCTTTAAATTGCACAGACTGATTGCAAAGGTCAAAAGAAAAGGTCGGCCAGCGTGACGCTTCCTGCTGCAATCGGCAAGAGTTTGGATGCACGCTCTGTTTCGGTGGAGCACAGCAAAGGTAATTCCAGAGGGACTAAATGGTTACCTGTGTGAACTGCTTTGGGGTGACGTGGCTAAGGAGTTGTGGAGTGAAATAAGCACTCAGAGCAATGACACGGCCGTTGTCTTCTGTTAGGGGTCTTGCCAGCAGCAGGAAAAGACAAGAAGCAAGACAATGACTCGCCCTGCAGATGATGATTTTCCTGGATTTTGAGGTACCTACTCTGGAGGAGGCAGTGAGGTCCCTCTGGATCAGTGGCTTCTGAGGCTCCTTTCCCTGTGCTGCCGCTTTTGCCATGTGCTTGTACCATGGGCCTGGACATGTCAGTGCTGCAGTCAAACTGTTGCATTAGTGCTGGGACATAGTGAGGTCCAGTTGATATTTCGGCTCTCCTTGCAGCTGACCTCCAAGCTGGATTTCTGAAACAAAGCAGTAAAGCTTTCTGCTGCTTAAAGTGCTCTGAAGTGCTACAAGAGTGGTGTTGTGAGGATTGCTGTTTTTCACCTCACAACCTGCTTCCTTTACTACCTTAATTTCAAATGACCTGCAGTCTAGAGATGTATTTCTCCTGCCTAGGTTCTCTCGGGATTGGGCACAGGTCTCCTTTTGAAAACCCTGCTCCAGAGAGATGCCGAATGGGCTGGCTGTGTTTGCCTGTTTTGTTCCTTTCGTCACCCAATCCTGCTGCTTAACTCTGTTGCCTGACAGCAGAAGTGTTGTGCATGGAAGTGTGTTGAGTAGGAGGCTGTGCCAGTTCTCAGACGTGTCTTTTAAATTACAGACTGATTCTGAAGGTGCAGCAGAAAATGTGCTGCCTCCTGCCTCAGTCAACAAGAATTTGGATGAGCAATCTATTGCAGTGGAGCCCAGCAAAGGTAATTTCAGAGATACTAAATGGTTGCCTTTGTAAACATCTATGGGGTGAGAGACATGGTTGTGGAGAAGCAGAGTGACATAAGCGCTCAGAGTAACAAGAAAATTTTTACCTTTTTTTTAAGCTATCCTGCCAGCAGCAGGAGCAGAGAAGGAAGAAAATGTTGACCCTTCTTCTGAGAATAAGGTACTTAGTTCTGTTCCAGATGAATTGTATTGCCTTTGGCTGAAGTCAGATGCAGTGTGATGTTGCACTCTTGACGAGGATTCGTTTCTCCACTGTGTCTCTGTTTCCTTGCTCGCTTAGCTGCCTACATTGGAGAGAGAAAAGCTTCAGCTAAGATTTGATTCTTCAACTCAAACAGATTCTCAGCTGGACATACAGGTGACTCTTAGTAGAGGCAGATGCAGATATATCCCTAAATAGCCAGCCTGTCAGTGTAAGCACAAGTGATCTTACTCCTGAATTCATTCTGAAATACTGCTGAGAGGAGGTGGTTGAGTCTGGATCTGTGCTATACTTTGGACCTCATTTCAATGGCATTCTGAAGCAGGAAGGGCTGGAATAAGGCTTGCTGAAAGTCCCATTTAGCTTCACTTTGAACACTTCCATAACTTGGTCAAGTGTCCCACCACAGTCCTTGCAAAAAATTTATTTCTTATGCCCAATCTAAATCTACCCTCTTTTCGTTTTAAACCACTGCCTCTCGTCCTGCCGCGTCTGGCTTCTGTAAACATCTCTCTCTCTCTTTTTACATGAAAGACAGCAGTAAGTTCTGCCCAAAGCCTGCTTTTCCCTGGCTGAAAAAGCCCAAGCCTCTCGGCCTTTTTTCATGGGAGAGCTGTTCCAGCCCTCTGGACATTTATGGCCTTCCTCTGGACTCATTCCATCAGGTCCATGTCTTACTTGTGCTGGGGGCCCCAGAGCTGGACAGTGCTCCAAGTGGGGTCCCATGAGAGCAGAGTAGAAAGTGACGATGCCCCCCTCACCCTGCCAGCCAACCTGATGACCGACCTCTTTATATAATGCCATCAGTAAAAGCATCTCTTGTGTTGTCATGTTCTTACTGCTTTCTCCATGTTCATGGAACACCATTTCTTTAGCCATTGCTCATGCAGGTGCTGGAAAAGCTTGATGAAGTTCTCAAAAAGAACTCTCCATTAGAAGTTTCACTTGCAACTATGAAGACCCACAGCAAGGACGTGAAGGAACAGAAAGTGCTGATGCAGGAGAAATTGGAGAGGTCTGAAACTAAGGTATGGGAAAGCCTGTCTCTTGGCAGGGGCCAAGGCCTTCTTTGTAGTGCACTAGAGCAGGAAACTGATTTTTCCTTGAGAGTTTCATGTAACACGAGATGATTTGGTGTGCAGCTAGCTGTGATGGGAAGGAACAGCACCGCTGCCTTTGGTGTCTGCCTGTTGGCATGACTTGAAGGGACAGTGGAGGGCTGCACTAAGGTGGTGTAGGGATGGAAAAATTCTATGTGAAAGATTTACTCGAGGAGGATTAAAAGAATTATCAGTCAAGCAAATTTTGGCTGCTAGGAAAGGCCCAACATGGGGGAAAATTATTTCCCATGAATAGCACTGTCTATATTTCTTTGCCTGTCTGTTTAAGAGGCTCACTCCACTAAGCTCTTCTGGAGAGAACAGGTCCCTTCTGGTTGAGTAAGTGGGGTGGGGAAGGAAGAGTTGGATAATGCCAGTGCTGAGCATTTTGTATGTGGATCACTTGCCTGTCTCTTGCACCCTTTTGGAGGAAGTAACGTAGGTTTCAAGAGTTTTCAGGAGTGTCAAAGCAGTCCAGTTTTTTCAAACAAACGTTAGCTGTCTACTGAGGATTCTTGCTGGAACCGAAAGAGCGTCATGTCCAGAATGAATGTTCTCCTGAGTCACTGAAGAACGCCCCAAAGGAGAAGGGAATAAGAATTCCCAGGAACCTGCAAGACCTTCCTCCTTTACAGAACATGCCTTTACGTGCAGCTGTTCGTGAGCTGAAAGAACGCTTTCATCGGTAAGCCAGTGCAGCAGAGCTTTACTTTTTGTGATTGTGTAAAAACAACAGGACTTACTTGTATCCCAGTGAGATACTAATACATGATTTTCAAAGATGCTCTTCATTTTAGATGAGGTTCTTTCACACTGTTCCTTTGGGATTTGTGATCTTGTGGACTTCTGTCATAAAGCCTGTATTTATTTTTCAGTCTCGAAGTTGACTACGCCAGGCTGGAAGCCACAATCCAGTGTCAAGCCAGCATCATTGAAATAATTGAGAAGTCGCGGCAAACCAAAAAGGTACTCAGGGCCTTCCCTTTTATGACCCACAGAACCTAGTTCCATATTCATGAGCTTTTCCTAGAGAGAACCTAGGAGAGATCAGTTCCTCTGTTCTACGGACTACAGATTGCTCTGAAAGTCCTGTCTGTTGCCCAGCTTTCTGGCATTTTAAGTTGTCCCATGAGACTAAACCAAATCCTACCTATTGCTGTCTGCCTTAGGGGTTTACAGTAACTTACTTAAGTATTAGTGCATTACCAGGTTTAAGCGTTTTCTGCTTTAGACCAATCAGAAGGTGGCGGCCTCAGACAGCACTTCAGACAGTCATACTGTAGAGGGATTTGGTACATTTGCTTGTGGGCTTTCCATGGGCTTTGGTGATGCTGAGCACTTCCTCCCGGCAACCTGACTGGCATCATCAGACTGTGACAGGAATTCTTCAGTTGCCTGTATTGCAGCCACCTTCCTGATTTAGAGACTGTGGATTCCCTGGCCAGAAGGCATGGGTCCATAATGCAGTGAGATGACCTCCAAAGATGAAAATCCCTTTGCACAGTGGAGGGCACAGGGACCTGTGGCCTTACCAGGACTGGACACTTCGAGACATGGCAGGAACCCAGACTTTAGCAAGCTTAGAGTGTAAGGGTATAAAAGGCCTGGATTTTCTTTTGTTCGGGGTCCCTCCTCGGAGGCACCCAGCTCGAGCTGCTCTTTTATTATTGCACCATAATTATACTATTTGAAGGATTGAGATGACTGAGACTCTGCTGTGGCAAGCCTGGGGTCGAGCCGTTAAGGAAGCTTTATGTGACTGTGTGAGCGTGGGGGGTGTAGGGAGTCAGGCGGGGCAACCATCGGCTCACTGGAGCCACCCACTGCAGAGTGACTCAGCTGAAGGGACTGCCAGAGTGGCTCCTGGATGATAGCACAGGAAAGTTTCCTTAGCAGTTGCATCTGATTCCATGCATTCAGAAGCCAGGGGAATGGCATGAAGTTGTGTCAGGGGAGGTTTACTTCAGATGTTAGGAAAAGGTTCTTCACCCAGAGGGCAGTTGGACCTTTTCTCCCTGCAGGAGACTTTCTTGGCACATTACTGCTCCAGCCACCCTCCGTGTTTTACAGAGCACAGGAGTCAGTTGCAAGGGAATATTTTCTACTCTTCCTATCCTGTCCACCCCCACAGCTGGTGCCAACTCTTTCTCTCCCACAGACATGCAATTGCTGCACCATTCACGGAGGAGCGAGGCTCAAGCTACCATGAGAAATACAGTCATCTCTCCAGTGCAGTTAAACCAGCAGTGCTTGAGCCGTTTCAGTGAAGACTCTGAGGCAAACTACACGGAGAAGGGTGCTCTGGAGCTGAGACCCTCTTTGAGGCTGAAGACACCAGAACAACCACCAGAGCAACACCTCAAAAGAGGGCTTGACCCCAGATTCCGCCCAGACTCCTCCTATTATAAATATTAGGATTAGATATTGTAGTTGTACGAATATTCATTAAAGATGTTGAAATCTCACACCAAAACTGTACAAACATCTGGTTTTATGCTGATAACTTTGGGCTAGTTTTATCCAGTGTGAGCTGGCTAGCCCCCATTTGTCGCAGTTTCTGGTTCGGGGAAAGGACCGGACCAGTGACGGGGGGTTCTTGCCTTGCCTGCAGATGGTAAGGCGGCAGCAGCAAGTGCTGGCAGGTATACGTTCACTACCGCGCAGAGCCCCAGGAAAGAGACATACGCACACGAGATGTGAACACCTGCACAGCCAAAAACTGATCCAATTTATTTAACAAAATGGAGGGGTTTTATACCCTCTGGAGTTGAACATTCTGGAAAAGGGGAGTAACTTGGGCGGAGCATGCAAATCCGCTCACAATGATAGGACAACAGTTGATGCATAAACATTAGGAGGCAGTAACTGGGGAGAAGAGAACCAGGAATAACGGGATTGGTCAGTACCGCACGATGTACCAGCCAATAGGGAGCTGTATCCAAGCCTGTCAGGCTGTCAGTCCATGAGGGAGAAAGGGAAAATGGAGGGAAGGCAACCTACGAATAGGTATTATGTTTAACTAAACCACTGCAAACAGTCTCTCAAGCACATTGAGGTTCATTTTCCATTTTCACAAGTCGGTTTTTCAATTCTTCAAAACTAGCCTCAGTTTTCTGGGTTTCTTTCCACTTCTTAAATACTTTTTCCTTATCTTCATAATCATCCTGACCTCCAACATCTCCTCCTTTCTTGTTTTTAAAATAAACTGGGAAAACATGCTTGGTAATGATTCCTTTTAAGTATGAAGAGAGATAGATTAATGATGCAGAAAGACAAACTAGGAATATTTGCTTTAGCCAATTGGGAAGTGAGAGTAATCGCAGTCCGTCAAAAATATATGTGGTGTAAAAGTTTGCAGGTACTTGTGCTACATTAATTAAATTTTTTAAATCAGAAATACTGTAAAAAACATATTTGGAATTTCCAGAATGGTCAGAAAAGTTAAAGCAACACAGATTTTGAAAATTTTGGCACCCGAGGTCATGATGAGATAGGAGGAAGCAGTCAATGGCTGCTCGGTAGTTTAAAGAAATGCCTGGAAATAATAATGACTCATTTAGTAAGGTTTTGATGGAGAGACTAATGGCATTTGCCTTTTTTGTTACCCAATACTCTATATGTTGCAAGGGGTCAAGATCACGTATTGTTTTTATTTCTGAGAGGGTTAAAAGTTTATCCCAGATCTCTGTTGTTTCTGAATTAGGACTTTCTTTTGCATCTTTTGTAGTTAGTGGGAAAATAAAAATTGCAGGATTAAACATTGACAATTTTCCTATGGTACAAGGTCCTCCTACTGGGTGTGAGGGAATGTGAGGCCAAGCCCTGTCTCCACATAGCAGGAACTGCCCTGCAGGGAAGTTCCAAGGCTTCTTGTGGTGTTCAGTGTGTAAACTTTGGACAGAGTCCTTGCACCACAGGGAAGCATTTTTATAGATTAGGGAATTAGGCGTAACATTAATATTTGCTTTGGCTAAGTAATGTTTTTTGAACATAAATTAGATTTTAGCATTTATACTACCAAGGAATTCTACTTCTTGGGGTTCTGAATCCGTAGTAGTATAGGTTCTGAGAAACCAGAGAGTATCAGATTCTTGGGTTATGCCAATTAAACATGTTCTTAAAGGGTCATCAACATTTGAAGTAGCTAAACATAGGGAATTAGTATTCATACTCTGAGTTAGTTTTACCCATATATTTCCTTGTCTGGACAAGGCCCATGGCATGGGGTCCCTTAATGGTTGTTCACAGGTGGGAGGGATGATGACAGTGACGAGGATGACGATGGTCCATTGAAGATTTTCACTCTTCTCGCTGGTACCCATATTGTTCCCATATCTGTGGAGATGCAAGCGTGTCCTTTTCCCCACGTAACTAAGGGAAAAGGACCTTTCCATTGATTAGTGAGTAAGTCTTTGTATATGATTTGGGCTTCGTTATCAGTTATTATATTTGTTCCTCTAAAATGTTTCTGTATTGGGGTTGTATCCCCATCTTGGCAATTTAAGAAATTTAAAACATATAAAGCTTTGGCCAATCTTTCTTGGGGAGTAAGACTTTTCGTTCCTTTTTCTTGTTTTCTCAGCATGTTTTTTAATGTTTGGTGAGCACGTTCCACTATTCCCTGTCCCATGGGGTTATGAGGGATGCCTGTGGTGTGCTTGATGTCCCATTGTTGAAAGAAAATTTGGGTACCTGAGGACAAGTATGCAGGTCCGTTGTCAGTTTTGATTTGGTGTGGTACTCCCATGTATGCAAATGCAGTTAAGAGATGTCTCTTAACATCTCGACTTTTTTCTCCAGAATGCGAGGTGGCAACTAAAAATTTAGAAAAGGTATCAACTGAAACATGTACATATTTTAATTTACCAAATTTTGGGATATGGGTCACATCGGTTTGCCAGATTTGTAAAGGTTCCAGACCTCTGGGATTTACCCCAGCAGGTTGGAGAGGGGTTATTTTTTGGCAATCAGGGCAGGCCCTGATTATTTCCTTAGCCTGATTTTGGGTAATTTGAAACTCTTTTTGGAGAGCTTTAGCATTCTGGTGGAAAAAATCGCACCTGCTCCAATGAGTTTGGGACAACAGACACACCTGCCAGAAGGTCGGCTTGGCGATTTCCTTCAGCCACGTGACCTGGAAGAGTGGAATGAGAGCGGATATGAGTTATATAAAAAGCATGCTCACGTTGGCCAATTAGGAAAAGCAGTGATTTAAACAGCAGAAATAGTTGTTTGTTTGCGAGATGTTTCAAGTAAGAGTGTTCCGCCCTCTTCACTATGCATACCACATATTCTGAGTCACTGACAATGTTTATATCCTGTTTGGAGAAAAGAGTGAAGGCTCGAACAATTGCAGACAGTTCTACTATTTGAGATGATCCTTTGGTTACATGACAATCATACTCCCATTGATTTCCATTTTCCCGGGTGACAATGGCCTTTCCAGAATGGCCAGAGCCATCTGTGAATACTGTGATGGCACCAGTAATGGGAGTTGATGACTGCACAAATTTGAGGTCAATTGGAATGTACTGAAGTTTTTGCAGTATTTTTTGTCCTGGGGCAGAGAATTTTATTTGCCCCTTGAAATTTTCTATAGCCAATTGGAAGTCAAATGACACTCTCAGCAATTGTTCTAAGTGATCTGAAGTTAGAGGAAGGTAGAAGGTGCAAGGGACCTCCCCTGACATTTCCCAACATCTTACTCTGGCTTTATAACAGACTTTAGAGATTAGTTCTGGAAGTGTCATAAGAGTTTTCCCAAATTGGTGTGGAAGAAAAACCCATTCCCAGATGTTGAAGTTTTCTGCACAAGTGGTAATCTGCCCTAGAACACCAAAGGGCTGTCTGAGGCCTAACAGAATGATGACAACAGGTGGGATACCAGCAATTTTTCTGTTACTCTGCATAGTGGAGATTTTGTGCTCCACTATTTTTAGTGCATCCAGTGCTTCAGGGGTAAGTGTTCGAGGAGACTTAAGGTCAGGATCCCCATTTAGTAATTCAAATAAGGGGTGTAGATCATCAGTAGTTATCCCTAATTGAGGACGAATCCAATTTATGTTACCTAATAGTTTTTGCAAGTCATTTAATGTCCGTATGTCTGAAGTTATAGTGATTTTTTGTGGTGTGATTGAAGTCATAGAGACTTTCCATCCTAGGTAATGCCAGGGGGAAGCCCATTGAATTTTTTCAGGGGAGATATGGAGGTGGAAAGTTTTCAATGTGTCAATTGTGGAAGCCAATTTTTGTTTTACTTCTGATTTTGTTTCTGCACAGATTAATATGTCATCCATATAGTGGTATATAATTGTTTTTGGATTTTGGAGTCGAATTGGGTTTAGAATTTTTGAAACATAAAGTTGACACAAGGTAGGTGAATTTTTCATACCTTGCGGGAGAACTTTCCACGCATACCTCTTGTTGGGCTCCCCTGCATTCCTGGAAGGGACGGTGAATGCAAATTTATCAACGTCATCAGGGTGTAGCAAAATCTGGAAAAAACAATCTTTGGTATCAATTATCACTATAGGCCAATTTCTAGGAAACATGGATAGGGTAGGCATCCCAAGCTGTAATGAGCCCATTGGCTCCAAAACATCATTGATCTTCCTTAGGTCATGTAATAACCTCCATTTGCCTGATGACTTTTTAATGACAAATACTGGGGAGTTCCAGGGACTGACTGATGGGGTAAAGAGACCTAATTTTAATTGCTCTTCTACTAACAATTCCAATTGGTGCAGCTTTTCTTCCAGAAGGGGCCACTGGTCTACCCAAATGGGTTTTTGAGTAAACCAATTAAGTTTGGGCAGCAGCTGCTCTCCAGTGGTCGATATTATAAATTTGCTCCTATTTTTGTACCCCATTGAGTCATTATATCCCTGCCCCAGAGTGTCATAGGCAATGGGAGGGTGAGTGGTTTACACGACGCATGTCTGTTATCATCATCTGTAAATATCACAACCAATTTGCTTTTTTGTAGTTTACAGGAAACCCCCACCACAGAAACCCTGAGGGAGGTTCCCTCGACAGGCCAGGACTTAGGCCAGTCTTTGGTGGCAATGATTGTGATATCAGCTCCTGTGTCCAAAAGTCCGGTGATGGTGGTGCTTCCAGCCAGAGATGTGGCGGTGACTGTCATCAGTGGCTGGTTGTCGGAGAGTGTCCTGGTCCAGTTTATAGAGGTAGTTGTCCTGATGACTTCTTGCTTTTCTTGTATTTGCTGAAACAGCCGGGATACTGAAAGCAGAACACCTAAAGGTTCTTTGTTAGACATAGTCACTGGTG